CTGGATGTTGTTGCTCTTGTGTCCCAACTGCTCCATGATATGTACCTCGGCGTCACTGATCGTTCAGAAGTCCTGGCCGCCACAGCCAGGCAATTGAGCACCAATAGGCCGAGGAGAATGGAGACCAAGAGAAATGATGTTTTGCGGATGCTTAGCCGCAAGCAAGGGTTCATGATGTAACGAGATCTCTCCCGCGGCAGGCTCGGTACCGCAATGCTTGCACCAGCTCCACGATGCCTTGTTACGGCCGCATCCGTATGCGCACTTCCAATTAATAGCAGCCTTGTCCTGCCACCCGCTATACGTGTAGACGCTGCTACTGGACCCTTTGCTTGCTGCGCCACCTTTCCAGATTCCTTCTGCGCCATGGCGTCTGCAGGCGGTGAAGGGGCGAATAACCAACGAAGGGGGGCTTTTCGCTATTCTAGTCCTCCGGGGGCCCTCGCCAGGCCCCGGGACCGTCCACAACACTACTCTAAGATGAAAGACTGGTACCGGGAAGGGGTCAAGACCTCTGGGGGTCGACGTTGCGAAACAAGCACGACGTCGGGGGTCTGGGCATGCCTCTGCCGACGTTCTCTGCTCCAGCGGGGGCACCCCCCGACCCTCGCGCCACGGCGCCCTGCCGCAACGCGCCCTCGGCTCCAATCTTCGGCCGAAATGGCTCGGGAGGGCGATGCCTGGCCGTATGCCTCTCCGCCCGCCCCCTGCCCTTCACTGCCGCCGGTCGGCTGCCGGTCGGCCGCAGCCTTTGTCGTCAGAGGGTTCCCCCCTCGACGGGGGAAAAGGTGCTCCGACAGGGCGCGGCCCAGACGACGCGCTAGCGGCTGCAGCCTCCTCGTCGCGCCTCCTGGCTACCCTGCCTCTGAACAAACTACCCTTGAAGATGGCGTGGCGACTCTCGCCTGAGTCGACCCTGGCGCCCTTGGCCGCGGGCCACTCTGGCGCTTCCTCGACCTGTCCTGCGCCTCGAGCCCTTCAAAGCTCCTCTCGAGGGATCGTCCTGCTGCTGGGTCTTCGTTAGCCTTGGTGGCTGACTCAGGCGTGAGGTCGTAGTGAGAAGCTGCCTACAGCTGCTGGGTTGTTAATGGCTGAGTCGGGGACAAGAGCTCGGGCGGAGGCTCACCCGACAAGGCCTCGCCTGGTCCCCGATCGGGTGGCGTACCTTGCTCGTCTGGAGGCAACGGCGAACTGGCCCCATAGGTTGGCGCCAGGTCGGTTGCGCACTCGTCGGCGTCAGCGCCCACCTGCTGCTCGACCTCGGGGGGGACAGGGGATGCCTGCTCTGGGCAAAAGCCAGCAGGCAGACTGTGGGCTGGGGGGGCAGCTGCACCGTACCGTGCCTGAGCTCCCCGCTTTCGCCTGAGTCCGCCTCGTATTGCTTTGCCGCCATCCTCGCTTCCTCCTCCACCTCCTCCTCCACCTCCTCCTCCTCCTCCTCCTCCTCCCCCTCTCTCCTCCTCCTCCTCT